GTACACTTCAATGGCTCTCTCAGCCCAAAGGTGATTGTAAAGTTTACTACCATTCGGCTGAACTTCTCCATCTTCCCAACTCCATGCCTTTATCAAGGGAAAGGTTTACTGCTCTCTCTGGTATACGAGGTGAAAAATGATCGGGGGATTGTTGAGAAGAGGTTTTACTTGTACACCTGAAGCTATATAGATATAGTGGTGCTGACAGAAAGGAGTGATAGTCAACCAAGTAGACTAGATCTGTACTGGATATGGAGAGAGTCCACATTTATCAGGCTTAAAATATATATTTATAACGGTTCAACTAACCTTTGACTGAATGAAAGACTGTTTTTTTTATCAATCATTTAATTGAGTATTCATTTTACATGACTATTGAAAAAAGTCCAAGAGTCCAAAGTCTAAAAAAAGCCTTTTGTCTAATAAAATTCTAAACAATTCACGATCCTAGACGATGAAGAAATATAAAAAAATAAACAAATGATTCACTTCTGGTAAGAAGGAACTGATTAATCAATTTAGTTGTTTTTGCTTTAAATTCTAAAGAATGATAGTACTTTAATTCAGCCCTTAGGTAGTTTTCTATAGACCTTCTAGTTCAATGTTTGCTGCTGGTATATGGACATTTTATTTCTTAATCTACCATCTTTTGTAACTCAGCAGTTGATGTTGAGACCTGAATTAGATTCTGAGGGTAAATATTATTTTGACTGAGACTGCGTCTTATGTTCCCGGCCCCAAAAAACAGTTGCCTTAATTTGCCCTTTGTTTTTATCAAAGACATGTAGCATCGCCTACATTTTACTGTCGAGCTGCTGACTAGGCAGTTGCATTTCTTGCAATCACACTAATTGGTCTCCTTTGCTGCTCACCTCCAAGACCCTACTATGTTCATACAGATAGCAAAATAAGACTCCTAAAGAAAACACAAGCTGAGAATAATGAGATTTCTCATATACTGTGAAATGTAACAGAAATGGGTGACATTTCAGTTTGAACCTGGGTGGCTCTCCTTAAACAATTCAAAGAAAACGAGGACACATAGGCTTTATTCCACCCATTACTGAGAGATAATTGTATGAATTAAGTCACAATTTGATAGCAATAGAGGTCTTCTAAGTTGTAAGAATTCTCTAAAACAACTTTAAAAAAAAATTCCAGGCAGGCAGTCATTCAAGGAAAACATGTCACTGCTTCCCGTGAATGAAAAATGAACATGGGAGGGTAAATAAAGCAATATGACCAGAGGGACCAGGAATTCTGCGGATAAGTGTCAGCTGCAGAGAAAAAATGAAGCATTTACCTGTTTGTAATCCAATTTCATGATGGCTTTCTGTAGATATCGGACTCCTCTGTGAATGAGCTTGGTGCTCCGGCTGCTGGAGCCTGATGAGAAATCGTCTCCCCGCACAAGGGCAGTTTTGAGATCTGACAACGGGAGCCAAGAAAACACATCAACATTTGGATACTTATTGTCCCAAATCTTTAGAATGGATCAAGATGCTATTCACATATGCACAACTTTCCACTGTAATATTCATGACGGGAACAATATTGTGGGGCCATACATATTCCATTGGTTAAAGACAACAATCATTTCCACCAGTATGACAGCATGAATCTCAAAAAGGAACCGTGTGTTCTGAGAACACATTTATAGAAACCATAAATGGAAAATAAATCAAAGAAGCATATTTTTTGTTCTAAATAATCTTTATACATTTGCAGGAAATCATATGACTTTCACAACATTTCTAACAGTGAAATAGCGCTTTACTTTGTCTATTAGAAGCTTATTTGCCGTCCCAAATGGTCTGTAAACCCCAGTTTTGAAAAGAAGAAAGGAAGAATAACTGAGGATTAGAAGAAGGGGTTTGAAAACCCCCTCTACACCGCCATTAGACAACACGAATAAATAAAGGGGCAATACACATTTAAGCCTGATACCCGCGGCATAGATAATTGATTTGGTATGTAATGGTAACCACAAGAGGATGCTCCCCTCACTGGAAGTTAACAAAGAAGTTGTCTTTTTTTCTTCTTTGTTGATTGGACTAAAGCCTTGTAAAGGAGAGAAATCCTCCTCGTCTTAACATGCTGCTGCTCTAGACTTCATAGCAGACATGCGAAGCGCCTTACAAATCAAGCCCCAAAGAGACGGCTTGCAAGCCACTCCATCAAAAAGACAAGGAGGTTATGCAACTTCAGGATGGAGCATGCCCATTTGTGGTCGCAAGCAGGGGCTGAACTAGTCTGCCATGAAAATTCAACTCAGAAAGCTGCTTCCAAAAAACAATGGCACTGGTGCTGCAGGAAAGCCTGGGATTTATCGGTCTGTTCATGAAACCACAATAAATGTATGGTTAACCAGGTGACACTGTTTAGTCATAACCTACAATGTGTTAGTTTGTGTCTCAAAACTTCTTGGGACTTTAGTTTTTAGCCGATGTTACTCAAATCTAATTCAAATGAACAGAAGCAGGAAATAGAAATAAACTATAGTTGTAATAAAGGAATATGCCATTCAGTGTAACATTGTGGTCAATTGATGTGTTTTTGGTTTGGGTATCAATAAAGGTCTATGTGAGGTATTCAATTAATTCGTAAGGGACTGGTCCCTATACAGTAAATATACTTAAAAGAAGAAAATGTTAAAGTTTTAAGTATGGGGGTGACAAATAAAGAAATAACTAAATAATTTTGTAAACAAACCACATTTGTATATTGACCGGGTTGTGATTGCTGTTGGTGGCTGTTGTTGTTCTTCAACAAATTGTAAATCACCACAATTATCATTTAAAAGGTTGGAAAAACATGTTTGTATCTATATACTGTACATTTACCATGCATGGTAGGGTTAGGGTTATGCTATGCATGTCTATACAAGCTGGCAAAATTGACAGTATGAATCGAAAAAAGCCTGAACGGTTAAGGTTCCAGAAACAACCGGCAGACTCACACTAAATAGCTAATAGCTGCTTAGATGAACAGTACAGAAATGAATACTCTTTTTTAAACAAGAGGACAAAGCCACTTTCTCCCAGTGAGTGCATCTAACCTGAATCAGTGGCTCCTCCTCCACCGATGAAGCCGTCCACTTCCTGTGAGACCTTCAGGAAGCTTCTGAACTCTGAGCTCATCTGTGTTGACATTCTTTACCTGTTCAGCTGCCTCCACATGCGATACACAGGCCTACAGCATCCATGCAAAAGAAAACCAGTCATTAATTTCATTGTCATGTGACTCCAGGGGACAGTGCACATTAATAAATGTGTTTCATTATTATGCATATGTCTTTATATTCCTCATGATGGATTTAGGAAAAAATAAGCCATGCATTTTCTGTGACAAATCTGTCAGACACCATCAAGCAATAAAAACAATACATCACATGCTTATTTATATTCCACTCCCAATTATATTTAAACATATTGTCTTTCTGTATTAATCACAAAATCTGCATGTGGCTCGCAGACGGATGACACAGAGACATGTTAACAAGCAAACTTGACTAATTGCACAACGCCTACTAAGTAAAGAAGATGATCGCTCAGGATTATCCAAAATAAGCAAAACAGTAAAAGACAAATGACAGCCGATCTAAAATTCACTGCAGTTGTTCGTCATGCAAACATTACAATACAGAGGCACTATATTTACCATCTGTTCGACCGAATAGTGAACAGGACGGAAAGAAACTAAAATCTGTCAATTAGTATCTCTTTATTTTGTATCTCATTTGTTATCTGTGATACATAGAACGAAAGTGTGTGTCAAGCATCGTCTAATATGAGCCACTTTTTATCTCTTATCCAACAAACGTGCTGTGAAGCCTCCTTATTATATTAATCAGACTTTGTTAATAAAACAGCACACTCTCTGCAACACTTGAGTGAACCTCACCTGTTTTCTCTTGTATTCTTCCAGCTGAGTAAGGCTATCAAATGCACACAAGGCTCCTGTAGCACTGACAGCAGTTCCCATTACTGCCATACCTCCTCCTGCAATGCACAGATACAGCTCAGCTGGTGATCAACAAAAAAAGGGGCAAAGAAAAACAAAGATTGCAGTGCAAGTAATCCATTACTGGAACAAACTGCATGCAGCAGTTCAGTGGCATACAAAATGTATGGATCCTATTTTTTTCTTTTAGTTTGCAGGCCTTTATTAAGGAAACATGCAGTGGTAGACTGAAACTACTCAAGTACTGTAACTTATACAGTAAGGCATTTATGTTACTTGATACCATTATAAATGTTGGAAAATGGGAAATGTTTGAAAGGCCAACATAATTCAAAGTTCTGAGTGTTTCTCAAAAGAAACGTACAATCTGAACACTGATCCTTATACTGGGCGTAAACCAGGTCTGCCTCCTTAGACCACGGTTTGAATGGAGCACTAAACTCAACTAAAGCCACAAGGAGAAAAATCCTCCCATACAGCTGCTTAGAGGAGAAAGCCTCACAGCTTAGGCAAAGCTTTATCCAATTCCCTCATCGCCCATTCTAGGACACTTTAGTGGGGCCGAAATGGAGCCGCAGCAAATTCTAGTACAAAAAGATTCTGCCACAGCAAGGCCATTATCAGCGTGTAACCACAGAGAGCAGGCTCCTGTCTGTGCAAGCTGCTAAATCTACTCACACCTCTAAATACTCGGAAAGAGATAAACTGTTTGTAGCATCATTAGAGAGCAGAAGCACATTTCTCATGTAACCAGTATAATTCAATGATCTTGGCGTGCTTTTTAGGCCAAAGTGTTCAATTTACCAGTGTTCTTTTTAATGCCAAATAGCCAGTGGTAAGGACATGGTAGGAGTCTGCATTCATAACTATTTCAAAGAGATTCGGTTTACACTATTTAGAGTCCTCTCAACCTTTCATAATTCAGATATATTATTAATCAAAGAGATTGACAAAGTAACTAATGGTTTGTCTGATTTTCACTGGGGCACAATCCAACCAGCAATTGATTGTGGCACCAGGGACACCTGCAGCTTCAGAATACATTTTCACTTTCAGGGGAAGAAGAAGAGGAAGAAGAAAAAAACAGCACCACGAGGAAATATTGCCCCACCACATGAATATGCAGGGACTTGATACCAGCAGTGTCATTACTAATGTTGCTGCCAATTACAGAGCATGTCATGACACTGTGATTCATGAATATTCATCGTTGACTGATATAGACAGCAGCAGTATGCAGAGGCCTCTATTCCCATTTTACTGTCTCATTGTGAATGGTGAACAGGTACCTCCATCATGCCATGGAGGCGCCTTCCAGCTGCAAGACAAGCTGTTCCATAAGGCATTGCTAGTTAACAGTGTGTTATATAAAGGTGTATAAAAGTGATGAAGTGCTCCCTGGCTCTAAAGAGCAGGCATTAAAGCATATTAAGTAGACATTTAAGCTTGTAAAGTGGGATTCTAGAAATGGAAAGAAGACACCGAGCAAAGAGATGCCTTCAGGGTCGGGCTGTTCAATTCCCAGAAAGTTTGATACCTGCTGGTGCTCAGAAATGAAATGAGGTTTGTGTGAGCGACCAGCAGATCTCAAAAACTACCTGGGCTTCAATTTAAGAGTGTGTAAGTGAGTGGAGAAACTCCCTCCTGTTATACCAGTTTCAGGGCTAACTGATTTTAAGCAGTAAGTGGGTCAATCAGTGGTTATGAAATTAAAAGAAGTGGAAAGCTCATTAGTAAAACCCAACTTCTAATTTTCTCAATTATATTTTTGTGCTTAATAGGGTTAGGGTTATGTGGGTTAATGTGCTTAATGTACATTATACAATTGTAAGGTTATGGTGTTTCACAAGATTTCCACTACCTACATTGTTTAACATCTGCTCCTCTACACCTAAAGGAGAAATACTCCTCTAATAGTCTACAACAGGTGAGATATGTAATGCAAAACATGCAACCAGTTAAACAAAGGCATATGAAGGAATTACCTTAGATTAAACTTGCAGTAAAATTAACGTCCCACTTCCCCCAAAATACGGAAAAACAACAAAGAATGTACATGAAATACACAATGAAGTGTAGCAGAATTAGTAGTGGTACCTTCAAATGTTATGAGAAAGTATGCTTTGTTCCATTCCACCTCGTCACGTACATACCTTAATAATTCGGATAGAAAACATTCTGCATGCTCACACCCACACCTTAATAAAATGCAGTATGCCTACTGTTAGTCTTAGGAGTAGTTTCCATTCTACCACTTCTACTACTTTACTTTGACTTTATTATTGGAATCTATTGAATGAAGCAGAGCTACATCTGCTGCCACTCACAGGCAGTCACATGATCTGTGTGAGATAAATACTCTGATATATCGTATCATGGTCAGATCCCTTTTAATTCACATTAAATGTAAGAGGAATTAAATGGTTTCTGGATGGTGGACTGATTGCAAAGTGACATGCAGGTGCTTGCGTAAGCTGGACTTAAAAACGTTTTTAGTTTTGCAAGTAGGGCGCAGAGCCAAATAAGAAAGTAGTTTTTTCATGATAAACAGCCTGTTCAGCGTATCAAATGATGATCACTGCTCACTTGGCTGCTGTCACCCCAGGGCGACCTTTCGGGCAGCCGCGGATCTGACTGTAAATGGGATCCATGAACTCAACGTGACGACAGCGTCATATCCACTAATAAAGTCAATTTCCTGCAATTTCGGTTTGTACCTGCAGTAAAACGAATAATAAAGTTGTGACGGTTTGGAGCCAGTGAAAAAATGTGTTTCTCTCTTTCTCTCTGACACCTACACACGCACACATAGCGCCCACACTAAAATGAGTAATGTCAGTAGACATTCCTTCAAACAAAGTTAAAAATATAGTCTCAGGAAATATCTTCTGTGCCATTAAAACTAACTCTTCACGTACGAATAACTGTCAATTAATTGTGCACATAAATGGGAAGTTAATCGTTCTTCAGTAAAATGGCCAATTAAACTGCTAATTGTGTTTTAATTCCAATTTCCAAATGGCAAATGGATAACAGACCAGTGTGACCATGTTGTATCCTGACATGCTTTCAGACACAATCTGAATATGTTTAGGACATACTGTATGATTGTGTGGTCTGTAGATTCCAACACACAGTGAAAGGTGTTGTGTTATCAAAGTAGAAAAAGGTGGTGACTCTTTCCTGTCCACCAGCTACCAGCTACTTAGTAGCAACTATAATCAAGAAGGCAAGCAAAAACCGAACTTTAACTCCATTATTTATAATATTCACAGTGCAGTGTGGAGACTTTTTTATTTACAAATTCTGCCATCTGGCCCACCTGAAAATGACTGGGCGTGACCACACAGCCTTAATGGGGTTAGGTTAATTAAAAGGTTAATTGTAAGAAACAGGAGCTGGTTGATGTATGGCTGGTGAACAATAGTGTCCTCTAGAGGTGAGTGTAACCATGATATACAATGATCTCCCCCTCTCCTCCCCCTCCTTGCAGACTCTGTCCTTGTGTGCACTGAGTGAGCACCGGGCACACCAAAAACTGCTCTCAGACTGATATTGTTCTGTGGCTCATATAATGAAGATCAATCCACTATAGAAATAACACACGATGCTGCGTGCTGTTTGACGCTGGCTACTGTTACACACATTTTTACACATGTTGTTACACCCACCTTAGCTTTCTGCCCAGGCCAATATGCATGTAGAAAATGTAGGCCAGCTTGATTGGCAACAAGGTGTTGGTGTAAGATTGTACTGAGATCAGTTATTCCATCGCTGCAGAACAATAAAGCCAAAAGATTATTTTGGCCACTGCGTCAACTTGAGCGTTTTTCTGCGTCACTCTCCATTCTGCCAGCTCCTATCACGTTTCCCTCTCTGGGGACCAAATTGGTTCCCCCATGACAACTGGCTACAGGCCCAATAATTATCCCCCCCTCCTCAGCAGCCCACATGCACTATACCAGCACTATGAATAGGCAGCCCACCCCACAAACCCCACCCCATCTGAGGTCTAAATTTGGAACACAATTGAAATACAGAAATCCTGTCAGAAGATAACAAAGAATAATATTGACCCTCGCTTCATTAGGCCTATTTCATACAAGTGTAGTGAGTCTGGCATATCAGCCACATTGTGACATAACTGTGCCTAGATGTGCCAATGTACACTCATCTCAATTTTACACTATCAGGCAGTGAATAAACTCAAGTACTGTAAGTAGGGATTTTTCTGACAGTAATCTGATTTAATAATTGGATATAAAAATGCACTTTTACATTTTGGCCTGTTGCAATTTAGAAGTGTATCTTTATTGTAACAAGTGTGATATTAAATGAATAGTCTCCCCTTACAAACAATATAAGTCTTGTGTGTTGATGTAAGGAAGAATGATACACACTGAAACGTTTTCATATGTTCAGAAACTAGCTCATCATAAACTGACTAATTTACTTTGCAGACATTTGATAAAGACATAAAACCATAGTACATAGATTAATGTCAGCTTAAAACAAGCGTGACTTAACTCCTCTGCAAACACAATGTATGTCTGAATACAGAAGGGTACCCTCTACATCTCTGCTAATGTCCATGTGGGAAGCAACATAGAACACATACCACAAGACAAACATCCTCGCCAGAAAAATTGGGGCTTGAGAGAGTTCCCCAACGGATTGGTCCATGTCGATGTCGATGCAGATGACGTCGCGCTGTGAAACACGTGGGTAAACCACCGTATCCAGAGCTCACATAAACAAAGCCACATTGGCCAGACTGGGTAGTCGAAGCTTGTGTCGCTGTCAGTGCTCGGAGTCACACGGTTTGTCCGCCTGGCATTGTTGGGTAGCGCTGCTCATGATTTGGAGCTTTTACAGAAATTGATGAATACCCCCTGCATGCTTATCGCATGGATTGAAAGCAACAATCCTGATGTGAAAAAGGTAAGAATTTATTCATCTCTTTATTTGCAACATAATGTGTGTCTGCGCTTTACTTTCACTGCCTTCTCTGAATCTTTTAAGCCTTTTTAGTCATTTTTTCACTGTTAAATTAAAATATAGAAACTGAGTCTGACTGTGCACATCTCTGGGTGTTGCTGATATTTCCCGAGATGGTTTTTCTTTACAAGTTTTCACTCGTGTCAAGTGCGCGAAGTTGGTTTGTATATCATGCAACACCGCACACTTTACATGAAGAAAAGAAAATTTACGATTTATACGGTTTAGTTTCTAAATGAAGCTATTTTGTCAGTATACATTTAAAGTGTTTTATGACATTTTATGTGCGTAGTTTGAAACTGCGCATAATGTTAAACATGACTTTATGTGGCATCTCGTGTTCATGTTTAGGTGTTTGTTGTATTTTACATTCCAGTAAATGTCAAGGTGATGTGTTTTATTAGGGGAAGATCCAGAACAGATACGCTTTCTTGAATCCTGACACCCATACAACTCCTGACAGTACCCATTTCAAGTGTCACCGAAAAACTGTCAAAAGACTTGAGGTAGGATATTGACAATTATTTACAAATACAGCTGTATTATTGTTTAATGTCCATTATATTATGAAATGACTTCCTAAAGTAAAGCACTATACAATTGTATTTTTGTGGTTAAGATGAAAAAAGAATAAATATAATAGACTTTAAACTTTTTTCTTCACGGTTTAAACACTGATTTGAGAAATTCTTATGTGTTTCTACGGTTTTGGTTTGCAGCCATGCCCTGCGTCCAGGCTCAGTATGGATCATCACCTCAAGGAGCTAGTCCTGCTTCCCAGAGCTACAGCTACCACCCCGCAGGAGAATACAGCTGCGACTTCTTAACACCCGAGTTTGTTAAGTTTAGCATGGACTTGACCAATACTGAAATCACAGCTACTACGTCTCTCCCAAGTTTCAGTACATTCATGGACAACTATACTACGAGTTACGACGTCAAACCACCCTGTCTGTATCAGATGCCCCACTCTGATCAGTCCTCTATCAAGGTGGAGGACGTCCAGATGCACAGCTACCATCAGCAGGGCCACCTGCCCCCTCAGTCGGA